TCTCAAATTAGAAATTAGAAGTCCCATCCCACTGCCCTTGAATCCATTTCCACTCATACTGGCTTTCCGTCAGGTTCCCAAAGCTGTAAATCTTACCAAGAGCAGACGTGACTAATCTTTGTCCCAAGTAACAGCTCTTGGATTTGAACTGCCAATACTTTGGTTACCAGACCAAAGCTGTGCCATTTAAAAAAAAAGTAAATCCACATTTGTTTTTAAAATTCAGTTCAAGGCATATGAGGACATTTCTGGTAAAATACCACCTGCCCTGTTCCCTTGTTGGTTTCAGTCTCTATTTTTGAAAAGCGTAGTAACTTTCTTCCGGGTGTTTTAGGGGCTCCTGGGTCAGCTCTGACTCAGTAACCATATGTACAACAGAACAAAACACTGCAACTCCGAGACATCACAACTTCTGCTGTGCTTAAATCCATTGCTGGTCACTCTGTTAACCTGTCTCGTCAAGGGTCTTCCTCTTTTCTATGGACCCTTTACTTTTCCAAACATGATGTCCCTCTCCTGGGAGGGCTTTCATTTTTTCACACCCTTGATAGGACATTTGGAGGATGGCTGTCGGGCCAATGGATTGTAAGAGGTCCATATTTGTTCCCATTCCCAAGAAAGGTGATCCAGCTGAATGTGGAAATTGTCAAACAGTATCACATGGCCAGGAGAGATCGGTCCTTAGAGAAAGACGTCATGTTCAGAAGGGTGGAAGGACAGCGCAGGAGAGGGAGACCCCGGATGAGATGGATTGATACAGTGACTGGGATGATGGGGGTTGGTGTGTCGGAGTTAGTGAGACTCATAGGGTCATATGTGTCGGAGTTAGGCTCAGGACAGGGAAGGGTTCAGAGCTGCTGTAGATAGTAGGGTCGCTATACATCACAGGCAACTCAATGGCACATAAAACCAACATACTAGGACAGGTTTGGAAACAGAGGTGGCATCTATTTCCTAAAAAACATGCCTCTAGAAACTATAAACTTTGATAAATGTCGATGGTCTTAAAGGGGCTTCAGGCCTTTTGTTCATGGTATCGCTCTGAGACGTGCTCGACTCGAAGGCAATCGACATCATTGATATCACATGCAAGCAAAATACCGCTGAAAAGAATTAAAAAAACAGCTGGAACAGTACATAGATAAGGAACTGCCAGAAGTCCAAGCAAGATTTAGAAGGGGCTGTGGCACAGCAATATCATTGCTGATGTCAGATGGATCCTGGCTGAAAGTAAAGAATACCAGAAGAAAGTCTATTTGTGCCTTATTGGCTATGCAAAGGTTTCTGACCATGACAAGTTGCGGCTGACATTGAGAAGAATGGGAATCCCAGAGCACTTGATTGTGCTCATGTGGAACCTATACCTGGACCAGGAGGCTGTTGTGTGAACAGAACAGGGGAGCACTACATGGTTTGGAAAAGGGAAGAGGGTGAGTCAAGGTTGTATTATACTCTCTCCATACCTATTCAATCTGTATGCTGAGCAAATGATCCGAGAATCTGGAGACTCTATGATGAGGAAAGCTAGACTTTCTGAGAACGACTATGGCATCAGGATTGGAGGGAGACTCACCTGCGTTAAGCAGATGATACAACCTTGCTTGCTGAAAGTGAGGAGGACTTAGAACAATTATTGCGTGGATCAAAGAATGCAGCCTTTGGTATGGATTGCATCTCAATGTCAGGAAAATTAAGATTCTTACCACTAGACCGACAGGCAGCGACATGATGGATGGAAAAGAAATTCAAACTGTCAATAGCTTCATCTTGCTTGGATCCACAATTAATACCCTTGGAAACAGCCAGGAAATAAGAAGATGCATTGCACTGGGAAAAATCTGCAGTTAGGGATCTTTCCAAGTAATTGGCCATAGTCTTTCTGATTACTAGTTATGCATCTGAGACCTGGCCAATGAATAAGGATGGCAGAAAAAGAATTAACGCCTTTGAGCTATGGTGTTGGAGAAGAACACTGAACATCCCACAGATGGCCAAGAGAATGAACAGCTATGTCTTGGCAACGGTGCAGCTGGAGTGCTCTTTGGAGGCAAAAATGATGAGGCTTCACCTCACATACTTTGGACATACTGCTAGGAGGTACCATTCCTTGGAGAAGGACATGATGTTGGGAAGGGTAGAGAGGGTTGGTGAAGGAGAGGAAGACCCTCAACCAGATGGATTGATATGGTGACTGCTACAATGTGCTTTCATGTGTCAGGAAGTGTGAGGAAGGCGCAGGATACAGCAGGGTTCAGAACTTTTGTTCATAGGGTCACTATGAGTCGTGCTTGACTCAACGGCACCTAACAACAACCATAACAGCGCAGGCAGGTGGGAGATGTGTGCATTTCAATTTATAATATGTTCACGTTCTCATTTTAAAAATGTGAAAGGACTGTTAAAAATGTTGTTGTTAGGTGCTGTTGACTTTGACTCATAGTGATCACATGTACAGAGTAGAATTACAACATCATTCTGATGACTTTTGCCCTCTTCAAACACATATGCTGTTTATTAAGCAGGAGAGCCTAGAATTTAAACAAAACCTCTAAAGGAGACAATAGGGCTATAAATCCAGCCCTAAGCATAAGTCTTGGAATTCTGGACTGAGGCAAAGACAGAATGTGGCTCTGAAATGGAAATTTCTGATAATGTTCCAATCCGTTTTCACTTTGTATATATAAATATGCCAAAGGGTGTTCTTAATTAGGGTCTATGTACATTTGCTACTTGAATGTAAGAAGTTAAAAGAAAAGACAAAAAAGGAGACCAAATTCTTCTAGCAAAGCATGTTTAAATGGAGGCATTCCTCTTATTTCATACTACTTTATATTGCTCAAGGAGACAAAGCAATTATTTATCTTGATTTACTATCAGCAATTTAAGACAACAAACAGAAATATTATACTGTGCAGGGCTGCCTCATGAAAAACACAATATTGACTAATTCTGTAAATAAAGTATTGTGTTCTTTTACATACAGAGACACAGAAAAGTATACTGCTTTTATGTTTTCAATGTTCATCAAAGCAACCGAGTGACAATGATTTCTCAGCAAAGACACATGCCGTTTATGTAAGTTTTATGGGTTCTGAGTTACTGCACACAGACTGTCAGGGATAATGAGAGAGTTGAAAGGAATGTTTTAGACAATATGGGAGGTCTAACTAGGTAAAGATCACTTTGAGTTCCTCACACAGAAATGGGAGAGGAGTTTTGTGAAATGGGCCATCTTTTATGATAAGTAGTGACAATTCTGGTACCGGCCTCTGGGCAGTATACTGCATATACTTCAGAAATTTCTAGACTGAAGACCTAATATTGACGGCTCTTGTTTGTTGCTTGTCACCAAGTGTATAACAACACAGGGGGACTTCACGTGTCACAGAGCAAGGTTTCCTTGGTTGTGATCTTTAGGAAGCAGATTGCCAGGGCTTTCTTCCTGGGTTCTGTGGGTGAGTCTGAATCACCAACTTTTGTTTACCAGCTGAGAGTAAATCATGTGTACCACCCAGAAACCTTCAGCACCAGTTAATGAATGCTTTACTCCAAGGATTTGGTTAATTTCAGGGAACAAGTGGCCATCACCACGAATCTCATCTGTCTCTGAGAGGGACCCCTTGGATGTTTTGTGTGAGGATGTTTCTCCATGCTTCCTGCCCCTCTAACTACCCCCTTCAATCCCTTTGCTATTTCTATGGGCCCTAACAGCCTAAGGACAACTACAGGCCTCTACTTCAAAGTTGGGTTCACAGAGAGGAGATACAAGAAACCACAACCCCTCGAGTAACCCACGCAAGGAAACTGCTCGACTTTGGTCTAAACGACTTACATTTTTCCTCGCCTGAATTAGCCGGTAATTGCATGTGGGCAGACTCAGCCAGAAATGGTCTAAATGATCAATTAGAAGGAAAAAAGGAGTCCCTTTCTTTAAAGTTCAAGGGTCCCTGCTGAAGAGCCCTACTTCCCAAGTGAGGCTCACATGGGCCTGTGCCCAGCTCTCTGTGGTGCCTGAATGTATTATACATCTGCCTAATGATAATGAATTGAGTACTTATTTTGCAGGAAAATATAGGGCATTTCCATTACATGCAATCAAGCAAAAAGGCTGCAAAATGTGCCACTCCATTAATTCTAAACAGAATCCTTCCCAAATGTCACCCTGAAATCAGAGTATGGGTTATTATAAATCTGAAGGAATTAAGAGTAATTTTCATTTGCACAAAGGATTTGAGGGACATGACTCCTGCCACACACACACTCTATTAATTGTGTTCAACTTGATTTGCCAATTTCTACATGAATCACTAAGCTCTGATCTTGCCTGTCCTGGGGGAGGTCAGTGGGCTTGTGTCTTCTTTACAGAGATACTTACTCATTCTTCCTTCCTCCCTCTCTCTTTCACACACACACACACACACACACACACACACACACACACACTCACTCACAATGCACCAAGTATGGGAGGTCATTGGCCAGTTATTAACAAATATGTTGTTCAAAGACGAAAAGCAAATCCCAGCTTCCGACAAGGCACTTAATGCCTCCAAGCCTCGGTTTCCTCATCTGTAAAAGGGGACTTTAACTCTTACTTCACCGGGAGGCATAAGGAGCTAGAGTATAATCAGAGTACATGTGCAGTGCCTGGCATACAGTTTACAGCCTTTACATGGTGACTGCTATCTCTAGATTTATCTTCTAGTATCATTCTTTTGCCTAAATTGGTTCTCAAACCCTAACCAGGGAAATCTGGAATTGGCAGGAGGAAGGTAACCATCTTCCCAGGTCACTGCTGGGTGAGTTCCCAGACTCTGGGGGAATGTGGCCAGCTGCGTAGTTATTGATTATTCCTTTCTTAATGTCAATCCCCCGTGTTGGCGGGTTGCAGCTGGGGTTGTGGGAGAGCACAGAGCAGGAGACGGGAAGAAGCAGGGTAAGGAGGATGGTCCAGTCTGCCCACAGCAGGAGCTTCTGGGCAGCAGGGCGTCCAGGGAGGCTCACTCCACGTTCCGGTACTTGGTGAAGAGGTTGTACAGCACTCGCAGAGTGGACTTCAGGTCACAGTTGACAATGTCTGCACAGGAGATAAAACCCACATGTTGTTTCAGTGGAGTCATGGTGGCCCGAAGGTGGCATGCCCTGTCTCTTCCATCTGCCACCCACCATGGATGTCCAGCATGGTCCTCGATGGGTGCTCACCCACAGGACATCACCCCTTGCCCCTGAGGATTTCCTTGTCCTGCTGGGAGAGAAGAGTATTGCTTTTGGGGTGATTCTGCTGGTGAATTACCTGGAACAGGTGATTGTGGAAGGAGGGGCTGAGTGAGAAGCTGGAGCAGAGGACAGTGAGGGGCAGAGAGGCTGGACACAGGGTCTCACTGCTTACCAAAATAAAGCAGATGCCAGAGTGTTCTGACTTCCCTTCAGAAGCAACATCTGTAAGCCAGTGAGGCACTGTTTCTGACTCTGTCATCTCAAGTCTCACCTGTCCCTGAGAATCCCCCTTTCTCTGCCTCCAGCCCCCACCACTGAGCTCACCATGAGAGACAGAAAGACAGCCTTGGGCTACTGGTGAAGGGTGGTGAATAGGATGCTAAATGGCTCTTTCCCACAGAAGAGAGTGTCCCTCAAAGTACAGGACCAACTGAGCAGAGAAGGGGGCCTCGCCAGGAGGACTGAGTAAACATGTGTTACTGACAGATTCGGATTAAGAATCAAGTAGATAAGAGTTGAGGTTCTGAAAGCAGGCTGGGGAATTAGATTCTCAGGAAAGTTCTACTGGGAGCTTCTGAGCTTTTACACAGCCACTTCTTGTGTCCTTTGCTTCCACCCATTCACCCATCCATCATCTACCGTCCATCCATCCATCCTCCAATTATCATCTTCTCCGGTCCTTCCTCTAACCTTTTACTGGTTCCTTTGCTTTTTTCTTCCCCCATAAGGCTTCCTGTCTGCTCTTAAACCTCTACATTCCCTTCCTTAGAAAACATTGTTTTGAAGAACTGGAGTAAATAGATTTTTAAAAGAAATAAAAAAAGAAGAAGAATTCTGTTCAGTGCAGTAGTAAAATCAGAAGGAAATGCAAAAAGCTTATGACAATGTTAAGTTCAGAAAGGAGAGAGGATTATGTTCAAAATTAGCATGCTGTTGTTAAGTGCCGTCAAGAACAACTCAGCGTGGACTAAACCAAAACCCCAAACCAAACTCAAACCCACTGTCATCAAGCTGATTGAAAAAGACCCTTGTGGTGTAGAGTTTGAGTGTTCATCTAATAACCAAAAGGTTGGTGGTGTAGCTAATGCTTGTTGTTTTTATGTACCGTAGAATCAGAACCGACCCATAGTGACCCTCCAGCGGGGTTTTAGAGGCAGTTAATCACACAGGAGGAGATTGCCCATCTTTCTCCTGTGGAGCAGCTGATGGCCTTGAACTGCGTGCCTTCAGGATTTCAGTGCATATCTGTGAACCTACAGCAGCCACTTTTTTGAGAATGAAGTAGTACTTTAAGGAAAAGAAGAGGGGGGAAAAGAAAAAGAGGCATCTAATCTGTTCAGTTACTAATAATGCTGTAATCTAATGTTTACAATTTTTATACTTCTGTTGTTACTATTCATATAAGCAAAGAAATATTACACTAAAAAAAAGTACAACTATATTTATCCCCTATGACCGCTGGTGGCCGAGTGGTAAGAAGCTGCCCTGTCATCCTATAGGCACACAGTTTGAATCCACCAGCCGCTCCGCAGGAGAAGGATGGGCTGTCTCCTCTTGTGGCTCTGAAAACCCTCTGGAGGGTCAGCTATGGGTCCATTCTGACTTTATGGCAAACAATAACAACACTCTATGAATAAAACTGCTAAGAAACATAACTAAGAATCCTATGTGGTCGAACGGGAAGAAGTCTGTGGAGGGGGAAGGGTGGCACTGAGTTACCATACTGGTTAATACCAGTCTTACAGATGCCACAGATTTGATGGTAGTGAGGTTTTTTGTGTTTGTTATTTTTTTTAGTTTTTGCATTTTTTAAAAGTCACTACAAATTGGAATCAATCCAACAATAAAGTTGGAAGGAACCGTGGGGAGTGAACTCTTCTTTTATTGACCTGCGTTTTCCTCTCTTACTGATCCAGATCAATACATGGTAGTTCATGGTGATGATATGTGTTGCGGTTCATTTCCAAACCCTTCACGAGCCTGTACGTTTATGCATTATGTATCTTTCTGCCTCCACCTGGACTGCCTGAGCTGTTTTGTTTGGCTTCAGTGTGTGGCCCAGTACCTGCCATGCACTGACCTTCAGAAGATATTAACAGATAAGTGAATGAATGACTGCTCAGTGTCCTGGGAGCCAAGGAAGAGAATTCCAGAAAGAGGGGGTGGCTACCGGTGTCCCATGTTCTCCAGACAGGAAGGAGGTTAGGGCTGAAAATAGGTTCCCTGCGACATGGCTCGAGCAGGTGACTTGGGGGGAGATTAAGTGTTAAAAACAGATTGGATCAAGAAGTACAGACAGTCCCCAGGTTACAAATGTCAGACTTAGGAACAACTCATACTTGCCCTTTAACATTAACATAAACTTGCCCTCACACTGAAAGGACTGCGCTGACCCCTATGTGAAACAAACTCTTCATTACAATCACCTTAACTTGCTGCCTGTGCAATTTTTAAATCACTGAAAAGCTTCTGAGAGCTTTCTTGCACTGAAATGAAATAAGAAATGTATGGGCGGGGAGCTCTGGTGGCCTAGTGGCAAGGAGCTGCAACTACAATCCCAGAGGTGCACGGTTTGAATCCACCAGATGCTCTGCCGGGGAAGGAGGGACAATCTCCTCCTGTACCAGTCAGATCTGATTTGACGGTACACGCACACAAAAATAATAAAATAAAATAAAAAAGAAATGTATGGGCATGTTCTAACTCACCTACAAAACTTACTTAAAAGATATACTTAGAATTAGACCTCATTTATAACCAGGACTGCCTTATAGGCAGTGGACATGGGTGCAAAGGAAGAAGGTGGGGACTGAGGAAGGACAGATACAGATAGAGGGAGGCGGGAAGAGTCATCATTTTAAAAGGTGAGTGACCTACAGGCAAACTCAAAAACAAAAAAAATCCTTAGAGGAAAAAATAGGACCAAATTTAGAATCCCTAATCCATGACATGAATGCACTTTTAACCACAACCAGGAGATGATAAACTAGATGATGACTAAGACCTTCTAAAAAATCAAATCCTTGTGTGCATCAAAAATGTCTCCAATAGAGTAAAAAGAAAGCCCAAAGATAGGGAAAATATTTGGCAGTGACATAGCTGATAAGGGACTCATATCTAAAATTTATAGAATTCTCTAGCACTTCAAATAGAAAAAGACAAGCAGTCCAATTGCAAAATGGCAGAAGATATAAAAAGATTCTTCACTAAAGATATTCAGATGGTGAACAAACACATGAAGAAATGCTCATGATCACTAGCTATTAGAGTTGCAAATTAAAATAACAGTGAGATTATCATCTTATCCAAACAACAATGGCACAGTTCAACAGGACAGCGAACAGCAAGTGCTGCCGAGGATGTAGAGAGATTGGAACCCTCATGCACTGCTGGTGGGATTATAAAATGGTACAACCATTATCTGTGGCAGTCTGGGCTTCCTCAGAAGGTTGAAATTAGAAATGACCCAACTATGCCACTCCTGGGAATATATCCTAAAGAAATCAGAGCTGTGGCACAATATACGCATGCACACTCATGTTAATTGCAGCAGCATTATTCACAACAGCAAAGAGGTGGAAGCAGCTCACGTGCCCATCAACAAATGAATGGATAAAGTGTGGTGCATTCATCTAATGGACTATTATACAGCATTGAAAAGACTAAGAACTTGTGAAACTCTACATAACCTTAAGGAGTTTTACAGGATGTCATGCTTAGTGAAATAACTCAGTCACAAAAGGATAAATACTGTATAAGACTATTTATAAAATAAAGAGTTACAGGAGGGGTGACAAGGAGAGAGCATGAAAAGTACGGGTAGATAATGAACACTGAATTGGAACAAGTAAAAGGAAGGTCATTCTGAAAAGAATGGACCAGCAGACACGTGTACTGCAATTAGCAATGAAGAGTGAAAGAATGAGACTGCATTATGTATTGAAGAGGGGGGTGGTGAATCTGTCTGAGTGAATGAAAGACCAATTTCTTTGTATATTTAAAATTACAATTTAAAAAATTGGAAAGCTGTATGCAGAAGACTAAAACAAGATCCACACCTCACTCCATATACAAAAACCAACTCAAGGTGGATCATGCCATCCAAGCAGATATATGCACACCCATGTTTACTGCAGCTTTGTTTACAATAGCAAAGAGTTGGAAGCAGCCTAAGGGCCCATCAACAAATGAATGGATAGAGAAGCTGTGGTATATTTGCACAATGGAATACTATGCTGCATTGAAAAACAACGAACTCATGCAATATTATTCAAAGTGGGTGACCCTGGAGGACATTATGCTGAGTGAAATATCTCAGTCACAAAGGGACAAATACTGCATGGTGCCACTGTTGTAGAATGGGTCTGACATCAGGGTGGGGGTATGACAGAAAAAAACTGGATAAATTATATATATTGTATTGAAACAGATAAGGGAAAGAACAGATTAGAAGTGATATATGATTAGTATGGTTAGCACAGGAATCCAGAATTAAGGTTGCATAGAGAAGTGTACTCGAGGTGGGGAGTAGGGGGGAAGGGACGTGGGAATTGTATACTAATGAAGGAATTTTTTTTCTTTTTTCTCTCTTTGGAGGGGGAAGCGAGCTGGTGGGGAGGGGTGGGAAGGGAGAGAATTGCGGCAATGAATGAATGGAAATCCAAAACCTCTGTAAAAAAAAAAATAAAAAAAAATAATGATAAAGAAAAAGGGGTTGTGAGATAAAGAAAATGTTGACTATAAGAAAATATCTCACATGGATTTTTAAAATGTTTTTATTGTGATTTTAATTAATGTTTTCATTTATTCATTGAACCACCTTTTCCTCCTTTTTTCCTTCTCCCGCCCTCATTCCACTTT